GATGAGTAGGAGGGATAGACATGGAGAGAGAGAAAAAAAAATAAGATTAGTCCTGACAAAATGTATCCCTAGCTAAGGCCAAGGGGAGAGGAACAGCAGGTGAAGTTTTTGAGTAATGAAGAAGAAAGGAGAATTGTTGAGGGCAAGGTATCACAAGCAAGGATCCAGAGAATGTGCAATCCATTGTAGACATTAGAAATGAGCATGACCCAAGGGGGATAGGAAATTCTATGGAAGCCCTAGTCCCCAAAAGAGTGGGAACCTCACGCACAGTGACTGAAGGAGAGCATACTGCATGGAAAAACAAACACTCCATGTTCTTCGAAAGAGACACCCAGGTTTTGAGATGATGGAGGTGGACATCTCGGATACTTCTTTTCTCATTTGGCTCTGTTCCAATGAGCCTCCTACAGCCATCCTCTTCTCTTCCTTTTGGAGATAGTGCATCTGTGTTGATTGGTTCTACTTCAAGGAATCTCATTTCCCATTAATTTTTTATTCATTTGGTTGTGTGTGTTTTTTTGTTTTTTTTTCATTCACAACAAAAGACCACTGCAGAGTGAGAAATTTCCTATGGGAAAATGAAGGAGGATGAGAAAACCAACTGTAATATGAGAGATGCATGATTATACACTTATCTACAGATTTCATGAGAGCCATGAAAATACAAGAAGGAAAACTTGGAAAGTGATGAAAAATCCATTCAGTAGCAAGTAAGTCATTAGGACCAACATTGCCACAGATCAATGGTGGAAAGAAATAAGATCCCTTGGAGGATGCAAAATAATGGTAACAGGAGACAATGGAGAAGGAGAGAAAGATTAAGGCTCTCCGATAGAAATCCTAGTACTCAACAATTGGCCTCTAACAGAAGGAAAAGGTCCATACACCAAAGAAAACCGGCCCTATTGATCCTGAGCCTACAGGACAGTCACCACCAAGACTGACAGCACCAAAATCTACAAGCAGTGGAAGTATAAATGGGAAGTGGTGACAAAACAGAGAAGAAGCAGGAGGACAGAAGACAGAGTGAGGCAAAGAAGGATCACAGGAGGAATGGTAAATCAGTGAGGATACAGCAAAATCATCGGCATGCAGCCCCAACATAAGAAAACAGAGCAACAAGCATACCAGTAAAATCATCTAGCCTAATGAAATGAACCAGAAAAATGCCCAAGAGATATAAAGGATGGAAAAATAAATTGAGTAAGAAGGGCATCACATATCAAAAACTAACAAAAGATGTGAAAATGCGAAAGAAGGTAAACATGCCACTGTAGAAAAGAATGGTGGATTATGACAAAAAAGAAGGAAAAATAATAGAAAAGGTTAATGTGTGTTTGGGAGAGGAAACTGCTTTTTTGCAGCAAGTGGTGGGGTCAGATCCTATGTCTTTTGCCTTTCTTAGCCTTAGGTTTTCCTACCTCTCTCTCTCGTGCACTCACCCCCCCCCCCCTCACACTATACCTGCTAAAATTACAAGCCATTGGAGCTGTTAATACCCAAAAGCTTTTCAATTATGTAGATTGATAATGTCAATAAAACATGAGTCATGATGTAATAGTTATAGTATTTAACATTTGACAAAAGGATTCCTTCAGTGGGTGAAGTGATAAACTCATTGTGATGTAATCTGTGCTATTTACTTCCATACAATAAAGTATAGATATAAATTATAATTAGGCAAGGGGAAAAGAAGACAAATGGAACAAAAAATTAAATTAGTAATGATCCAGTATAATTTTATAGATTCCCATCAGGATTGTGTTAATTAACACTTTTCTATTTACCTGTACCAATATGATACCTTATCTCCTCTCGCATAAATAGCTTTCCTCGATTTGTGTTGACCTCTGTTTGTGCAGTTTTCACTCGCTACTAGTTTTGATGCTCCCACTCACTCTCATGTGATTACATGTGGTATAGCTGTACTGTACCATGCAATAACCCTCCACCAATAGGAGTGTGAGACACTCTTCTAATGCAGCTGACTCCCTCTGTGCTGTAGGGCACTGTCATCACTTCTTGATTTGACACAAGAGTCATTAATTTCCATTTTGTCTGGTGTGAAACAACACAAATTTGTTCATGCTAGCCTACCAACTATATTGGTGGGTCTTTGTTTGTAATTTGCTCTCTTAAAAAAAATGGAGATGTCATCCATGGCACTGTATATTTACTGAGCTGAAAGAACAGAGAGAGAAACAATGAAATAAAATTACTCGAGGGAAGGCTATCAAGAAGAATACACTCCCTCATGTAAAGTTGCATTTCGTCGTGAATTTTTTTTTTTTAATCCATGCAATATGTTCACAACTAATGGAATACGTGTGGACTATGCATTCCTAATCGGGTGAGCAACCTACAGATAAAATTCCTCGGGAATGTAACATTTTGACCCTTGAAAAAGATGAGATCAGATAATGGGCAAACTAAACTAATGCCATTCTTTAAACCTCATGAAAAAAACTGAATATTAAATTTTTTTTTGAATTAAAAATTTCTTCTTGCATTTATATTACATTAAAACAGAATAGTTATTACTTGCAAAAATTAAAATTTTCAAAACATAACATTATATACAAATCAGCTTGATATAATATCAAATTATATTATTCATGACCAAGAAATGTAATGTTACAATTTTACAGC